TGTGAAATCAAAACTGTTTTTCTAACACTACTAAGATCTTATTTTCCCTTTTCACTCTGTGGCTATTTGGTCTGATGGTGCAAAAGCAATGGTGGGTAAAACCGCTTGGTGCCTTAGCATCTTCACTTCTACAAACTCACGGCAGAAAACAAAAGCATTTCACTTAAGAATGTCCTAGATGAAGCAGTGAAAAATATTAATTTTATTGAATTGTGACTTTGCGTATACTTAGAAAAATATTCTTTGTGAAGAAATGGGAAGCTGTATACTAAAGTAACAGTGATTGTTTTGAAAAATAGCACTTCTGTGGTTATATGAGTTTTGCGCTAAACTAGCTATTAAGCTAGTGTTTCCCCCTATAAAACACTCCTTTTATTTGAAAGAATGACTGACAAACTATGGTTATTTAGACTGGTGTTTAATAGACATTTTCTGAAAAATGAAAGAAGTGTGTCACTTCGAGGAAAACAACTGACGGTATTTGTTGCCAATGAGAAAATTTAGATATTTGAGCTTTGAAGTGAAAATTAGAATTTTGGAAAACCTGTATCTACAACGATGATCTTGATAACATCCCAGTACTTAAAAAGACTTTTCTGATGAGATAGATGATGATAACTTTTTTTGATGTTGTATAGTGAAATGTGTCAACGTTTAGATCTACATAACTCAGTGAGTCAGTATTTTTCAAATGACAGGTTTGTAATGCTATAAAATGTATCTGTAAAAGACCCATTCAAAGTAGAAGATAGAACAATGGGTTTTAATGTAATAGAGTATCAAGAATTCATTGATAGTTTCAGATTTCATATCGCAACTAACCTTTAAGAAACTACCACTTGTCAAGTTTCAGAGAAAAATATCTACAATTATTTGAAAAGGCTATTAAAATATGCCTTCCTTTTCTGACTACATATCTGTGTGAAGGTAGATTTTCTTCATTTACTTTAGCCAAAACATCACATCACAACTGATTCAGTACAGAAGCAGATATGAGAATCCAGCTGTCTTCTATTAAGCCACTCTCAAGAGACTTACAAAACTGTAAAAACAATACCACTCTTCTTACTAATTTTTTTGGGGGAAAATATAGTTATTTACATATAACTTAGTTTATAATATAAAATATTTAACTGTATTTTAACATTAAAATTGTTAAAATGTGATGAGCTTATTGTCATTTTAGAATATATTAATACATAGTTTTAAAACCCAGTTTTAGTTTCTAATATGGTAAATACTAATAGATACAACCTACATTATAAATAAAAGCTTTTTGGAATTTCCAGTTATTTTTAAGAGTATAAAGGGTTCCTGATATCAAAATGTTTGAGAAACACTAGAATAAAACAGTCTCCAAGCTACATTGTTAGGAAAAGTGCAGATCAGTATGACTGTAAGTTAGCATTTGTGTGAAAAAGGATATGAATGGGATTCTTATTTTTTTGTATATATGTAAAATTCTTCTGGAAGGTTATAAAGGAAATTAAATGTTGGTTTGTTCAATGCGGAAGGAATGAAAGGTAAATTCTTTACTCTAAACCCTTTTGAACTAATTTGAATTTTAAACCAGATGGATGAATTACTGATTTAAAAAAGAAGAAGAAATTAAAACATTCCTACCAGCTATATTACAAATTTCAGGGAATCTAAGTCTGTTATGAGAAGTTGGAGCATGTTTGGAGTAATGGTTATTTTTCTGGCCAATTGCTTTTTCTTATTTTATTTGAGAAGAAAATGAAGCTTGCTTATTTTAGGGGTAAAAAATTTCATTTAATGTCCAATCCAAATACATTCATGGTGAAATTATGTAAATCAAATAGGTAGCAATTTCCACAATGGGACCCAAAGTATACTGAACTTAAGTTTTAAGGAGGAACAATTCAATTAGTTTTGTTACTAACAGGTATTTCTAGGTTTCTAGTAAAGAGCATGGATTTATTTTAGAAGACTATTATAATTTGTAGTCTGTCATTTAAGAGGTTTTGAATAAGTGCTGCATGTAATGTGGAAGTAAAAAAGCTAAGTAAACATTCTGACATTTGATTCAGTACAAAAAGTACTTTTTAATACTCGTAACCTTTGTGGCTTTGGGAAGTCTTGAAAAGAATAACTAAGGAATGCAATTTTATTTATTCTGTCTGCTATGAAGTGTGGCTTTTGATCAATGTTCATACTTTTAACTTTTAGATAAAGTATCCTTTTATGAAAAAGGAAAATTATTTTAATGCAAAAACTCTTCAGATTTTCTTTTTTCATATCATACTTCTAAAATTTATTTCTTTGAATATTGAAATATCATTTCCAGAGTTCTTCGAAGCAGTTTAGAGAAAGATATTACATGTGATTCTGTTCGTTATAGTGAAAAGTTTGCCCATAATGTGGAACTATTTTCCCCAATTTTTTTAGTTAACAAAGAATGCCTTTAATAATGTTAATAGGTTTTTCTGAAGTATTAAATAGGTAGTTAATTCATAAAGGAGTTTACTCTTGCTACTTGCATGTGTAATAGTTGACATTTTTCTAAGCACATGTTATTTTCTTTGATTCTCAGCACATCTTGGAAATAGCACAATTAGTGTTTTTCTTATTTTTTATATGTATGGAAATTGAAATTCAGAGGGCTAAATGAATTGTCATATAACCTTGTTAAATGATAAAATAGCAATTTAGATTTAAGCAAGGCTAGATTAGATTTAGATTTAAACACCTTTAGATTTAAGCAAGACTGTCCTAAGTACAAAAAAAAAGCACTTATCTATACCTGCTATGCTCAGGTTCTGTGGTCTGCACTAGAGATATAAAGATAAGACACAGATCTTGCCCTCTAGGGGCTGAAAGTTTAGTGACAGAGACTACCCAGTGGAGAAGTGAATAAGTGTGGTGGTGCCCTGTTGAAGGGCCGTATATCTCAGTTTCGAGGAAGTGAAACAGATCTTGAAGGATGAGTAGGAGAAGTTAGCCAGGGTGAGTCTGGTTGAGGGTGGTGATAAAAGGTGTCAGGTAGAAGATACAGTGAAGGAGGCCTAAGCAGCATACGGACATTGTTTGGGAACTGTTAGTAGTTCCATGTGATGACTGTGCTGGGCTACACGGGAGAATGAGCAGGATGTGAAAGCAGAGAGGTAGATAGTGGCCTAAACTGGAAGTCTGAACTTTCATCTAAAAGTTTCAGGGTGCTAAAAATTGATTATAAATAGTTGGAAGGACTGAGTTTGAACAAGGTTAGAGTCTTAATTCTTGGGCTTATTAGCTGTAGGACTGTGATCAGTTGACCAAATATTTCTGAGCCCCAGTTGCCTCAGATGTTAAATGGAAATAACGTTCAATTTATTGCAGTAGGAGGACTAAGAAAAATAAATGTTTAAAAAAAAAAAGCACCAAGTGTGCACCAAACCTGTATGTAAGAACTCAGTAATGAAAGATGAATTAAAAGTAAGGACAGCTCACTGCACATATCTAAGCTTCTAAGTAGAACTGAAAAAAATGAATTAAATTTTATTTTAAAATATTACTGGACTATTTGGACATTTCTAAAACAGCTTAGCTGAAATGGTTTTATAATTTCAATGTTTAAATTTAATATTGAGGAGTCTTTCAACGTGGTGTTTCTTTATATACTTGTTTGAAAGCCAGACTTTGTGTATATGATGTGGTTGTCAGATGATGAGACTGTCATGAGATAGCCCTTGTGTAGAATCAGTTTTGTTTGTGTGATGTTTTGTGCCATGCCCATTCCCCCAACTCCCTGGCCCAGGAATGAATTCATAGCTGGAAGACCTGGATCTGTCATTCTAATTTTAGGCAAATCCTTGCCCATTTGTGTGTTTCTTCAACATTAAAATGGTACTTAATTAATTTAGCTTTAGGGAATAAAATGAAATAGTACATGGATACATTTTTGTAAAACACAGTATCTTAGTCTGCTTGGGCTGCCATAACAAAATACTACAGACTGAGTGGTTTAAACAACGGAAATTTATTTCTCACCATTCTGGAGGCTGGGAAGTCCAAGATTAAGGTGTCAGCTGATTTGGTTCCTGATGAGAGCTCTCTTCCTGGCTTGTAGACAGCCATCCTCTTGCAGTGTGCTCACATGGCCTTTCCTCTGAGTGTGCTTTGGGGGAGGGGAGGGAGAGGAAGGGGAAAAGAATGAGCCCCTTGGTGTCTTTTCTCATAAGGACACTAATCCTGTAGGATAAGGGCTCTACTCTTATGACCTCGTTTAGCCTTAATTACTTCCTTACTCTAAATAGAGCTGCACTGGTTAGGGTTTTAACATAGGGATTTGTGTGTGGGGACACACACACTCACATTCATTCCACAACGTGCAGTTAAATTGGAAGTGTTCTCTTTTGATGGCTTTATGACGTGGTATTTGGTAACAGTGAGTTAAATGCCAGCCATGTATTATATTTATTTTAACTGCTCTCCAGAGCTGCAGATGTATATGGACCATTTGAGTCCTGCTTTCTAGCCAATAGGTTTATAATTGGCTAGCTACAGGAGTGGTACAACCAAGTTAGTATCAACTTAGAATATTACTGTGCCTAAGGTAATTCTAACATGTCAACAGCCATTCTCATAGTATATTAAGCCTATATCACTTCCTTGAATCTCCCCCCCTGTTGCAAGCCCAAATATAGTTTGATTCCCATAGTAAATGTCTATAGTTTAGTGGTGATTTAAAAAATCATATCATTTATCTTAAGTGTAAATTCACCTTTTTACTTGTTAACAGAGCAAAGCCTTTTAACTGACATGGGAAGGTTACACACATTTTAAAGGCAGCTAAATCAGACCTCAGTTTTGCATAGCAGATATTGGAATAGAGATAGAAATCTTAACTAAACTTCAGGATATCAGCCTTCTCTTTTTCTTTATTGTGAATTTCAGTGTGAACTTTGATTGAGTTCTAAGTCTGTTTGCATTTTAGATTGTGCCAGAAGATCTTTATACCTGGTTTCCTGGAATGATCACATTTATGTTCTTTTTCACAGGCCAGCCCTCCAGATCTCTATATTGAAAGATTTAATATAGCTCTTGGACAGTATATGGGAGCATTGCAGAGCATTGTGCCTCTTTTCATATATATGGTAAGTTAGAGCTGTTTCCCCTTTCCAAATACCTCTGTTTATTGGTCTAAGTGCAGACAGATGCAGAAAGTTAAGCATATTCTGTTTTTCTTTTACTATGTATTATGTTAGAAATGGAAATTAATCTATTTCAGCAATGTTCATAGTGTTGGCATAGAAGACTTATTTAGCCTTTCACTGTTCCAAAATTTCATAAATACCATTGCTGAAACAGACAGTTAGGCATTAATAATCAGCAGTCACCCAATTAACATTTTGTTTCTGCCATATGGAAGATACTGTGCTTGGAAAATACAGATATATCAGAAAGATTTCTTACCTTCAGAAAATAGAGAGTTAAGACATGTATCTAAAAACATGATGTATAATAAATGCCAAGGAAGTAACTCCATAAAAAGTAGAACAGTAAAGTTTGCTTTCATTCTGTTAATCTCTTTCACTTGGAAAATTATGCCATGAGTACGTCTTGTAGTCTGTTGACTTTGTTGAAGTGTCCCTGCCCTGTCCCCCACCCCCCCACCCCCACCTTTTAAATATATAAAGCTATAGGATCTTAATGTTAGTGTTCCTGTTGAATGGGAAGAGCCCTTAGAAACCATTGTCCCACTTTCTCTTTGTTGATTAGATTAGGGAATGGGTTGTTTAGGTTGATCCTACAACCTAAACCTAGAGAATGGGTTGTAGCCTAGAGATAAACTGTGTGTAATACCAATCTTCAAAATGATTTATTCTCCATAAGATATGTTTTACTGAAAAAAACAGAACATTGGGAGGAATCTGTGTTATCAGTGGGAGACTACTATTTAAATAATTTATGGAGGATATTTACCGTAGAAAAATACGCAGTTAAAAATAATGACATGTCAAAAACCCTGCAGAAAGTAGGCATAGAGGGAACTTTCCTCAACATAATAAAGGCCATATATGACAAACCCACAGCCAGCATCGTCCTCAATGGTGAAAAA